TAGACATCGACCCAGTTGGTTCGAGAGGTAGATGTCGCCCTATGGACAACGTACGCTACAGCGGAAATGGAGAACACGCCATTTCTTTAAATGCAATTAATTGGTGCTCGTATGTATGTACATTGGAGTGGTCCAAAAAAATAAAGTCGGAGTTTTAATGCCGGCACACCCTAGGATTGATCTATATCGAAAAAAATATACCCCCATTTTTTATTTTGAAATCAAAAAATATTTAGGGAGTGCTCAAAGCGCTCAAAGTTTTCCATGTATTTTATATGGAAAAAAACATCTTTCCGTAGAAATAGTGTAGAATTCTTGAAAATCAATATTTTTCGATCGATTTTATTTTCAGGAGATTCCCAGTAATAATACTCAATTGTTTCTTTAACAATTTTTTCATGGTAACTATATTTTATAGGTCCTCCAAAGCCCTTAGAAAATGCAATGGGGGACCAAAAAAAACCTTTAATCATAAAAAATGGTTAAATAAACAATTGGATATTAATACTGGAAGTCTCCTGAAGAGTACCACAGTTTTACGGTCGAAAAATATTGATTTTCAAGAGTTTTATACCATTTCTACGAAAAATTGTTTTTTCTCCATATAAAATACATGGAAAACTTTGAGCGCTTTGAGCACTCCCTAAATATTTTTTGATTTCAAAATAAAAAAATATGGGTATATTTTTTCGGTATATAACAATCCTAGGGGGTGGCGGAATTGAAAATCCGACCTTATTTTTTTTACACACATTTTTGGACCACTTTAATGTACATACATATGTGTGTGCATGTGTGTACATCAATATATTAATATCGTTGAATTATTTTAATATCTATTGCAAAATTTTATACAGACAAGACTAAAAAGTAGAAAATAAATAATACGAAAAAACTTTTTAATATACAACACTTTTATAAATGGACTGAAAAGTATAAAATAATAATTCTCAGTCCCATAAAATTTGTTCTGATAACTTTTGATTTCGAAATTTTAGCAAAAGTCATTATAAACAGTTTATGAGGTTGAAAATGAAAAGCGTGGGGCGCATGCAATATAAAGCATTACATTTAATTGACAATAGTCAAACTACATAACATAGACCTAAAGTTTCTACAGAGAAATTTGAGATCGACTTTAAGCGGTCGTTATTCATATACCCATATACATACATACATTCATATATTACTTTTCATATCAATTCAAGTGTATTACATGCGCCCCACGCTTTTCATTTTCAATTTCATAAATTGTTTATAATGACTTTTGCTAAAATTTCAAAATCAAAAGTTATCAAAACAAATTCTATGGGACTGAGAATTATTATTTTCTACTTTTTAGTCCATTTATAAAAGCGTTGTGTATTAAAAAGTTTTTTTTTTATATTATGTATTTTTAACATTTATAAGGAAACTGCTCCGATAGATTCATTCAACATACCTTCACATTAGCGATACCTGCCTTGCAACTATTATCAATTATCAAAGATGGTATTACGTTTATCTACACTGGCCCTGCAATTACCTAATTTTACAAGCTTTTATTTATTTTGCTCATCTTGCATAACAAAGAAAATGGCTATCAATTTATGTAGTTATATAGATAATTAGATATCATTCGGTAAACATTTCGCTTGCAGTAATTTCTACGTGCTAAGTGCTCCTCCATTATTTGGTTTCATAGGGATTCGGATACCTTCCTCATTGAAGTAGTAAAGAAAATTCGCTTAAGTGTTTTTTTCGGTTAAGTGCACAAGTATTTCCGTGCAAAGAAGGATGAGCAGCTAAGCAAAATATACTGCAGTTAATAAGGAGTACAAATACGATCAACCAACAAAAATTATCCAGAACGAAAAATGGTACTGGTACTGGTCAAGGGCTGACGAAAATTCGTTCCAAAATACATGATACACCCACCCTGTCGGAAACAACAATAACCAAAAAGGAACTCTAAATTCCGTTTTCAAAACATGTTTGATTTCTATCAGACGAAAAATAGTCAAGCTATTAATATATAAATGCATCAAGTACGAACATAATGGTTGTTTTTAAATAAAATAAAAATGGAGGGTTCAGGAACTAATAGAAACCTATTTTCATGTTATACCCGACGCAACCTATAACCTACACTGAGTTTTGTTTCGGGTGTATTTCGTATTTTTTTTTTGTCCATCACATTAATTGGTTTAGTGCCAAATTTTTTTATTTTTGTAAAGAAATCTCCAAATTAGGTTTTGTAAATTGCAACTAACAGCTTTTACTAAAAATTCTATTTTAATCGATCTTCATCAACAATTATTATAAAAGTATCGATGTTGTGAAAATCGATTTTTTTTGGAGTTCTACTGACTGTCACAGAAGAAAAATTTCGTTTGTTCTCTCTCTTCTTTGATCAAGATTTCGTGCTGCCTCCTAAATGGCAAACATTTCTTCTTAATACACCCGTGAGCGTTGATGTGCTTGGATTATCTGAATGACCAGGGATTCCTTTGATCCATGAACTGGATTTTATGGGTCTTACTGCTACAATAATGGCCACCCCGGACAATTTGCAAGATCGCATTTAGGGTGTATGAAAGCGTGAGACAAAGGTGGCCTTACACCATTTTGCGCTCTTTCTATGCTGAATTCGTATAACATAAACATAAGGCCAAACAGACCAGACATGCGGGGTTCCTATATATTTCGTCTGCAGCGCCATCTATTGGGTCAATTTTTTCAAAAGTATTGCTTGTCATAAAGTGAATACTGATTATGAATTTCAACTAGATTGTACAATAAAAACGAATTTTCTAAATAACTCTTAACTAGTGGGTCCATTTTTCGTAGACGTATTTTTCGGTGACAGGTAATAAGGTCAATGGAAATAAGGTCAATTGACTTTATTTCCCACCCTGGTGCGAAATAAAGTCAATTGACATTATTACCTTTTCAAAAGCGAAATAAAGTCAACAAAAATTTGGAAATAAAGTCATTGACGCTATTTCCTCACTCAAATGGATAGTAATCCATCATTGTTGTGATAGTAATCCACACACAATCATGAACTACCACCAATTGATTCTATTAAAAAAGAATTTAAATTACGAATATGTAAAAACACGATGCGAAAAAATTGATTTTATTTCGTTTTTAAAAAGGTAATAATGTCAATTGACTTTATCTCGCACCAGGGAGGGAAATAAAGTCAATTGACCTTATTTCCGTTGATCTTATTACCTGTCACCGTATTTTTCATACAAGTAGCATATAATTTGAATTTGAACGAAATCGGTATATAAATACGACTTTTATGAATAACTCGATTCCAGTGCCTCCTAGCAAGTTTTCTAGCAGCCTGTGATATGACCACATACATATGGAAGGTATAGCCTCCGAAAATTTGTCGAAATCTATCCAGTCGTTTTTGAGTTAAATCCGAACAACGAAAACGGCTATCATTTTATATACAAACATACATATTAGCGTGGGCCGAAAATTCGATTTTTTAGAAGTTCGATTGGTAATAGCAAAAATATATTATGCTCTAAAAATAATCTGTGTGAAATGTGAAAATTTTTTGTCAATATCCTAGGCTCGCCCAAGTCCACCAAAGTCTAGTCTAGTCTAGTCGAGTCGAAATTTTAGACAATGCCATGCAATTATCGATACGACTCGGACTCTCGAAAAACAACTTGCAGTCGACGCGACACTCGCAATGAGGCTGAATATATATGTATATGTAGATAAGCGAAGGGTTTTTTTGTGTCTAGGGCATCAGATCTGCACCGTTCGTCCGATTTCGCCACCGTTTAAAAAATTAAATTCAAATTAATTTAAAAGTTAAATAAATTATTACAATGCGGGTATCAATCGAAATGATTTTGCAAGAGCCTTACTTCTTAAGCACATGTTGAAGGGTTTAAGAAACCAAATTAATTTTAATTAAGGCAATATGGGTGTCAGACGAAAGAGGTTTAAGAAAGATTTAGTTTGAAAATAATTAGAAGATGATTGCCACCTGTTTGAAAAGACGAATTTAATTAAACTATACACAAGTTATATTAGATTATAAAATGTGGGTGTTAAACGATGAAGTGTTAAGTAATCTTTAGTTTAAACATTTAGAATATTTTAGAGGTGTTTCAAACGGTTTGCCACCTGTTTAAAAAGATAAATTCAAATTATTTAGTTAGTTAGTTAGTTTATTTCTAAACTATGTATATTTAAGAGAGTTGGTCACGTGGCAATCAAATTCAACTTATTTCATCACAATCGCAGACGAAAGAGATTTAAGAGGATATTTATGTATTTGTGAATATTTTAGAAGGGGGTTGCCACCTGTTTGAAAAATCGTATTGAGATAAGTTTTACACAGGTTATATGAAATATTAAAATATGGGTTTCAAACGAAAGAGTGTTAAGAAATCTTTAGTTTAAACCATGATGCAAAAATGAAGGTAGTTCCATTTAAGACATTCGTTGTTGTTGTTAACCATTTGACTTTCAATAAAATTATGACATTTCATAAAATTCATGCTACCTGATCACCAGAAGTAATATATTTTTATAAATATCGATAACAAAATCGATAAATATGGATAACAAAATCTATAAATATCGATAATAAAATCGATAAATATCGATAAAAAAGTCTATAAATATCGATAACAAAATCGATAAATAGCTATAACAAAGTCGATAACAAAGTCTATAAATATCGATAGCAAAATCGATAGCAAAACCGATAAAGATGTCGATTATTTCATCAATAAGTCTCGAAAATCCCAAAAATCGCTAAATTTCCAAAATAGTTCCCAGATTGAGTCTCTGTGTCTCCCTCTATATCCTTTCCTCTTTAATTACCTTTATTTTAATTTTTCTTCCCCTATCTTCATCTTTACTTTTATCGGTATACTCATCCTCCTCTTTGTTTTTACTTTTATATTTATAATTTTCTTCATCTACTTATTCCCCTTCACCGTTGCCCTTATATATATAAGTAAAGCGTTTAAATTTACTTTGCTCTTCCTTTTTGCCCTTATCTTTACGCATATTTGTTTTTGTTTTTATTTTTACCTTTGCCTTTATCCTTTTCTTTATCTATGTATATATGTACTCACCATAACTTTCATTCTTGTATTGGTCTTTTTCTAAGTGTTATTCTTTAACCTTTTATTAGTTGTATACCATATGCATACACACAAGAAGCACTTGTTTCAGCCCCGTTGCATCATTTCTGTTGCACCATTTCCATTGCACCATTTCCGTTGCACCATTTCCATTGCGCCATTTCCGTTGCACCATTTCCGTTGCACCATTTCCGTGTGCAATTTCCGTTGAATTTGCCAATTTACTCCCAACCAACCAACCGCCGCTAAAGAAGTTTCACTTCAAAAATTACCAAGCACTGATAATGGTTTTTGATTTGAAATGTTATTACATTGGTATAAATATGAGATAGAAAATACTCCGATTTATTGTTTTAATATTATAAAAGTGGCAAGGCCATTAATAATTCTCACAATTTATGACACTTCAAAAAATTTTCTTATCAGTCAAAAGTTGTTTATTGAAACTAGCTTCTTTGCTGTATCATGTTTTATACATTTAGAATATTTTTGAGGTTTTGAAGAAATTTTTCACTGGCTTAACAAGTTAAAATTAAATAATTTAAATGAATAATTAATTAATTTAAATTAATAATTAAGAGATGGGTTTGAAAGGCTTTGTTTTTTTTTTATACCCGCGCGCACTTGTGGACAAGGGTATTATAACTTTAATCACATAACGATTGTTTGTAACAGCCAAAACGAATCGAGATAGATATAGACAAATGTATACATAAATGATCAGAATGAAAAGAGAAGTCGATTAAGCCATGTCTGTCTGCCCGTCCGTCCGTCCGTGTACACGATACCTCGAGAAAAAATTTAGATATCTCAACGATATTTGGTATGTAGATTGCCCTTTACCCAAGGTAGGCTGATATTGAAAATGGGCGAAATCGGACCGTAACCACGCCCACTTCCCATATAACGGTAGTTTCCAGAAATACGAAATACGATATTTTAGTAACTATTGAAGCTTATTTAAAATAAGAATATTATAAACTTTTGGAAAACGGGCGTAGCCACGCCCACTTATTATTACATGTGTATATCTTGGTAACCGCTGCACTAATTTTTCCCAAACTTGCCAGAGTTGTTAGCCTTGGCACCACATACCAAATGGCTGAACGAATCGGACAATAACCACGCCCACATCCCATATAACTACGGTGACCATCCGTTCTGTTTTTTGCAGGACCGTACTGTTTTTCAAAGGTCGGTCCTGCGTAGTTTTTCAAACCTGAAAAACCTGAAAATGTACTGCTTTTTTCCAAGTGTCCTGCATTTGTCCCGCATTTTATTTGTTATTTTAAAATTATCGGATAATGGATGGATTTTTTAAAAAAAGTGTTTCTTGGTACTTTTCGTAGCTTTTCTTCAATATCTCATGAAAAAATCTCCCAGTCAACGTAAGCGACTTACATCTCGAAGGGTATCGATGTGCCTCTTACCAAAGTATATAACTTGTGGCGAATTCAATGAAAATTATTAGTGCTACCGGCGACCATTTGCATTTTGTCGTCAAAGTCGAAAAAAGTGAGATTTTCAATCAAATACGCAGTTTTATTTTATTATTTTTTTCATTAGTTTAAAAATTCGATAAAGAATATATATCATTACAGCAAATTTTGAGTCAAAGATAATGAAAATCGGATTAGAAATGTAGATGCAATAAAGCGCAATCTGCACAAGTTATATATTTTTGTAAAGGGCACATGAATACCTTTGTAACTCGTCGGTTACGTCGATTCGTGACGTCGATTTTTGACAAATAACTGCGAAACGTACAAAAAAACAAAAACGGGTATTGTTTTCGTTTTGAACGACTCAAAATTTGCCTATAAAATAATCTTTTATAGATTTTCACTATTCGTGTAAGCTATTGTAATTATAATATGTTTTACTATACTTTTATTAATATTCATGTAAAAAAAGATTAATATCGACGAAGAAAATGTGATGCGTTTTTAAAGTTTAAAATGTATTAAGAATTTAGAATCATAAATACTCTTTTGATATTTTTATCCTACGTAAATATATGTAGGCAGATTTTTGAAAAATTATCCTTCATTTTGAATCGATATTTATGGTCACCGTACATATAACAGTAATTTAGATAAATCAGTAAATACAGAAGACAATTTTTTAAAAGTGATGTTTTGCAATAACTATTTAGCAAGAAACACGTTTATGATAAAATCCAAGTCGGTCGAGAAACCTGAGTTTGGTTAGGAATTTCAATTACACTCTTGGTATTGTGATTCTACTTCCGGAACAATTTCGTGCTAATTGAAATTTTGTTTTGATATGAAGTTTGCCATTTCTAGTAGTTTTTGTCGCTGAACTTATATCTGAAAAATATGCACAGCATTTTAAAATACATCTCTTGTCCTTTCACAAGCCGCACAGTCTGCTTTTTGAACACTGCATGCGAATCGTAGCGCTTTCGACAGAGGCAGCATTTTGTTGCGAAACAAAATAGTTTTTAAAGATGAAGTAAATCCCTTTCAATTGTGGCCATTGAGCTTAAAAAGTTGGTCAAAAGTAGTGTTCTTAGAAAAAACATGCAAAATCCACGGGATTTATTCCAAAATAAAAAAATTATGTATTTTTTATTATACTTGTATTATAGATTTTGAGACGAGCAACACGATTACACTGTTCAAAATTGGGAAACAAATTTGAACACCTTAATTTGAAAAATGCCTAGAGGCTTCTTGGTTCAAATTAAAGGTCTTGAATTGCACTTATTGTTCGAGGGATATAAAATTGTGTGAAGGATGCACAGCTGCATGCAAATCATAAAAAAAGCAAAATATGTGTAATGCATTTTTCAAATTGAGGGGTTGAATGTTGTCGTGTTTCTCGTCTCTAAATCTATAATATTAGTAGAATAAAAAATACAAAAAAATTTTTTTCTTAATATATCCGTTGGATTTTGCATGGGTTTTTCGAAGAACACTATTTTTTACCAATTTGTTTAAGGTCAACCAGTGATTGTGGCTCAATGGCAATTTTTTTCCTTGAAAGACAATTACATTAACTTTCAAAGCCATTTTGTTTCATATCAAAGTATTGCTTCTAACGAAAGCGCTACAAATAATTGGCAAGAAGTGTTAAAAAAGCACACTGTGTGCCGTCGAGTAAGCTCGAATATCTTGTTTTTTAGTCGAGAAATGTAATTTTGAAATTTAAAAATTGCTACGGTGTATGTTTTACAAAAACATATGACTCAAAATATATGATTTATAAAAATATAATTCATTTATATATAATATGTAATATAATAAAATAAAATGTCTATCATACTTGGTCATACAAAATTTTTGATTCCGGCCCTGGCTCCACCTTAGACTTTTTTACTTTTCAATTTTGATTTATTTTAATTTCAAGCATTAGTACAATAAGGTCTACATACTTCAGGGAGATATAACAACCAAAATTTATAAATTAAAAATTTCAATAAAGTTATTCACCAAAACAAATATAAAGAGACTGAAAATCAACGGAAATAAGGTTAATTGACCAGTATGCGAAATAGTGTCAATTGACCTTATTTCCGTTGATCTTGTTCCCTGTCACTGTCAAAAACACTTGCATTTCCTTCAGTCCTGGATCCGTCAAGACCTCCATTTTGAATTTTTTGCAGTTGAAAGTGCGCCTGCTTTGCAAAGTCTTGCTCTGTTATAGATCTAATTATCCTTTAAATCAGTGCTGCTCAAAATTTTTATATTGAAGTGAAATCACAATACATTTACAAAATTTATGTGTACACTAAATTTTTTTTTTATTTAAATGAAGCTTGAAAGTATTTAGTTTTATTGTACGATTAGCGAATGAAAATTGTTAACAATGGGAGTATTCCCATATATGTGCAATAACACAGTGCGTTAAGAAACGATAGCGACCTAGTAGCTAAAAGGTTCCAAAATTTAGCGGGGGGAATCCTTGCACATATTTACATCATATTGCAAGCTCAAATTTACCATTTTAAATTTTTATAGTCCCACTTTAAAGCGCTAATAAATGATAGCACCATTGTAGCAATATGCAGAGATTTTAATTTATTATTTTTTTATATTTTTTTTTTCGCGAAGTTTACGGACATTTGTTGAAATTTTCCATCAAGGTCGCGAAATTTCTTTTTTCTGCAATCCGACGTTATAAAAATGTCTGCATTCCCATCCACTTTACGCGATGTGATGCTCCCAGGGCTTTACATTGAATTCAGATTGGAAACCAATAAATTTCTATATCCCCTTTGTAATTTTCCAAAAAGTTTTGGTGGCAAGTTACAAAATGGCGTTGCAAGTACTTAATATTTCGTAATTCGTTTAATAATTACAAAGCACAACATACACTACGCTTTGCACTCAAGATTTTTGCAAAAACGATTTCGAATTAGATGGGCTATAAAACTGCATACTTAGAGTTTTTTTTTAATCTGAATAGAAAGTGCAAATTTATTGAATTTTCCTGAGTTTTGGACAAAGTTTAGAGATTTAGTTTTTATATTTTTTGATGTAGGATGAACTATATTTTTATAAAAACGTATCGAAAATAAATTAGAATAAAAAACTTTGCAGATATTGCGAAAAATTTTCTGTGGCAATACCTTTGTTTGGCACTGTATGTGCCTATACTTCAGGGCACAACAAAACAAATGTACTACATGTGCTTAAGGAGTGAGCAGCTCTGCTTTAAATTTTTAAAAAGGTTTTAAGTGCAATTTTAATAACTTTGCTATACACATAAGGAGGCCGCATCCTTGTACCTATTCAGCTGAATCAAAATAATAACCATAACTTTCGTGTAGTTTGATAAAAAGGTGGATAAAAAATCCAAAGTACATAATCAAGGTGTTTTCGCCACTTTTCTTCAAAATTAATCATTCTTCAAAACGAGATCAAAAACAAACTCATCTGATGCCCACAAGTCCAGATATAAGCTTAGGTCTTGAGGAAAATATGTGTACCTATACCTATTCAAGTGAACCGGACTGATTATAATTTTCATTACAATACCAGGGTAAAGATATTCTGACGTCGGTCGGAGAAGTCAGTAAAATGAGCTACGAGCTACTTCACGTGCAAACCACACTGATGACCAGCGAGCGACCGAAAATGATAATAGTCGTATTGATATATCCGAATTACATTCGTGACTGAAAATTAACGTCAAGTGGATAGATGTGTAATTCAAAAAATCACCTCTGATAGTCATTTATATTTCCATTTTAGTATTAGACAGAGCCATAGCAAGAAGGCATGGCCGGGTAACTCTAGTAGTGTTATATGGACCAAAAAACATCTGTGTTAATTCCTGAATTTTGTTTAAAATTAGTAACACAGCAAAAACTTTGCTTACTTTGAAAAGCGCTTTTTTGTATCAATAAAGTACTAAAGTTTTCATGTCCCGGCCTAAGTAGTTATCAAAAAATGGAAAAAATAGTCAAAATATATGTATGAGCGAAATAAAAGGTTATGACATACATATATAATGGAGAAAACTTTCATGGGAAATATTTCCGTAGAACATTTTAACCCATTTTTTGAATCTTACTTCAGGAAACCCCTCATAAAAGGAAATCTGGAAGTTCGTTAGAGGACTGATGTGTTTTAGAAAATTATTACTAACCCCAACGGCTGCCCTCCTCCCGCCAATCCGCACGAGGGGCGCAGTCCGCTTGATGTACGGAACTTTATTTTTCAAAAAATTTTGCGCCGTGTCACGAAACGCAGGAGTTCGTTAAGTGTCGAGATCTAAAACTATTCACCAATAGAACCAAATCCATCAGCTGATTATTATGTCTCTATTTTAGTCACTCATTTATTGAGAGGGGATAGTATCGCTTTCTTAATGCAGAAAAGCGAATCTGTCATATCAAATATGCTGGCTGTGAGTTTAACTCCTGGCATAAGCAACGGTCTGGCTCGTGTGGTTCAAAAATACCTTTAAACCTTTCAAATATAGGGGACAAAAGTGTCTTGATGCACGAGAGGGAGCATTAAGGCTAACTTGAGCCAGAAGAAGCGGACTTGAAATTGAGCCTGTCAACAATTTAACCATAAAAATTGTACCAAGCATTAGCCTGCAACAGACAAGTTTATGAAGGTTTATAAGTTTTA